GTTTTGAATCAGTGTCATTGTCAGCTAGAACAAAAGCTATAAAGCTTATATAGGCTAACAGTTTGTCGTTGTTTTAAATACCTATGTAGGTATACAGAGTATGTTGAAACAATTAGGAATCTGGCAAAAAAATAAATAAATATGTTTGCAATTTTTTTTTATTAGGAAGAAAGTTTAAAGTATATTTCTCGTTAACAAAGTTAAAATCTTGAGGTGAAAACACTTTTATTATATGGAACAGCAATTTAATTGTAATAGAGTATTTATACAATCTAACCTTTATTTCTTTTTTTTTACCTGAACTTTCTTTCAGGACACACTTCTCAACAATGGAACCAAAAGTCTTGCTCCTGACATTTGCAATTATTTTCGCTTTCCTATGCCCTATAAATGCTGCAACAATGCGTAAGAGCACTTTTAGCAAATTGTCATTATCTTTGTTTTATAAAACCTAAACTTTTCAAAACCACATATATGTACTTACAGCTGATTACATCCAAATCTGCCATCGAAATGATCCAAAGATAGCGGAATGTGTCAAGGAAACAGTGCATTCTATACGACCGCATTTGGCTGATGGTATTGAGGAATTGGGTGTTCCGGCTATGGAACCACTGTATATCGGTGATTTGAATATATTGGAAGGTGGCGCCAATGGAATTAACGTTAAAGTAAAAAAACTCAACGTTTACGGATCGTCAAATTTTGAAATCAAAAAAATTAGGTAGTTCTTCGCCAGAGACTGGAAATTTCTGATATTAATTACTCTGATATATTTTAGAGCATCTGATGATGCCAGAAGGTTCGATTTTGAACTGATTTTGCCGTATCTGCACGGCGAAGGCAACTACAATATTAATGGACAATTATTGGGTTTAACGTTGCGGGGTAACGGCCCGTTCACTGGAAATTTCAGTAAGTTAGGAGGAGATGCATACATATATAAATTTAAAATTTTCATAGTGTCTTCTATTCCCAGTTGAGTTATAACTTGATTCGCATTTTTTAATTTTTATAGCCAATTTTTATGCCTTCGTGAAGGTTATCTTCAACGTTACAACGGTGAACGATGTTGAACTGATTGGCCTAAAAGAATTAGTTGTCAAGATTCGCACAGGCAGTGGAAACGTACATTTGCAGAATCTATTCGGCAATGATAAAACGCTAGGCGATATTATAAATGAGACTATCAATCAAAACTTCGAACTATTTACCAATGAAGTTATACAACCCATCGAACGCGCTTTGGAGAAGAAGTTTAGCGCCGTCTCAAGTAAAATTCT